CAGTATATACAGTATTTTTTCTTCACTTCAGTTTTAAGTTTACTTTTATCAATTGTATCTTAATAGCTTAATTTCAGTTATTTAACAATAACAACACTGAACCAAATAAGTATCAAATATTAATTTTAATACTAAAGTTTTTTAAGTTTACATTTTTCATCTATAGTTTTCTTTTTACTTTTGTATTTTATTATTTATTTAAATTATTTTTAATAGTCTTAATTAACAATAACAACACTGAACCAAATTGTAGCAGCTGAAAATTCAAGATATAGCATCCCTTTTTCAGGTCTAGGAGTTGTTATGGTGAACTTTCTTCACGTTCAGTGTTTTTAGAGCTTACTAGTTTTTTTTTTTTAACCGAAAACCGCTTTATTAGCCACATATTCAAAAATAAATACAGAAATCTGACAGTTACAGGTCACTACAGTCACTGTAGAGCCACTAAAACCAGAAATAGACAGTCCTAGAATAGAATATCATTAAATATATCAAACGCTAGGTAAAAAAATAAAAAAGAGCAATTCAGTACAGAGGTACATTTTTTCCCCACATTTTAAATATCTGGGGCATATATATATATATATATACACACACACACACACACACACACATATTTGTGTGTGTATATATATATATATGTGTGTGTTTGTGTATGTATATTTGTGTGTATGTATATATATAATTATATGATGCGTTCTTTCAGGATTTTATAAGCAAATAGCTTTAAAAGCTAAAAGTGAAAATGATTAATTCAGAAAGCACTTCCTAGCAGCACTGTTTGCCGCAAAGCAAATCCGATCATTGTAAATAATGCACAGGCTCTTCTGAGGGGCATTTCTTTGTTACTAACCACTGAATGATTGAGAGCTGGCAGTGGACGTGCTCAACAACCCATGACCGCTTTGTTGTTTATTGTGGCTCGATGATGCTCTGATCAGTTCGTTTGAGGTTAAGAGGGAGATATTTTATTTCCCTTATTTTACAGTCGCTGAGTGTGTCGTAAATACTCTTAATTAAATTAAAGTTGTGCATCCTAATTAAAATTGCCAAAGGGGCTTCTTGGCAGAAGGGGCTGAAAGGCATGACAGAGATTAGTGAACTAATTGCATTGGTGGCTATTTAATTAAAGTTGGTTTCAAGAGCACGCCATCCGGCGTTTCTATCAGCATCACATTTGGAGGAAAACATGGTGAGACAAACAATAATGATAACAGACAGCTAGAAAAAAGAGAAAATTATTTGAATAAATGTGCACATTATATAAAATAAATGTTTTATTATATACTGCTGGTCAAATGTTTGGAAACATTATTATTTTTTAGTAATATTGCTTAATATTTTTGTGGAAAAGACTCTTTGCTCACCAAAACTGCATTCATTGAATTCTTAAAATCGAATTAATTCCTGTGATCAAAGAAATTTCAGCATCTTTGCTCCAGTTTTCAGTGTCACATGATCCTTCAGAAATCATTCATAATGTGCTGATGCTAAATAATTATTGATGTTCAATTATTAATAATTGTTCTTATAAGTAATGCTTGATAATTTTTAAATATTTATTTGTTTGACCTTTTCTTCAGTATTCTGTGATGAATAGAAAGTTCAAAAGAACAGCATTTATTTCAAATATAAATATTTTGTAACATTATAAATGTCTTTACTTTCACGTTTGATCAATTTAATGCATCCTTGCTAAATAAAAGTATTTCTTTTCTTTTTTTAATATTGATAATAATCAGAAATGTTTCTTGAGCAGCAAATCAGCATATGATAATGATTTCTGAAGGATCATGTGACACTGAAGACTAAAGCGATGATGCTGAAAATTCAGCTTTGCGTCACAGGAATGAAATTACTTCATAAAATGTATATTCAAATAGAAAGCAGTTGTTTTAAATAGTAAAAATATTTTACACACTGTATTTTTTAATCAAATAAATACAGGCTTGTTGAGCATAAGAGCATAATTCTTTCAAAAACATTAAAAATCAGTATTTTTCCAAACGTTTGACTAGTACTGTGTGAATTCTGTAAGACCTTGCCAAGTGACTAATTAAATTAGTATTTTTGTCTGCTCACATCCTCTCTTTCTTTTGGCAGCCGATAGGATTTGTTCATCCTCGAATGATGCTGCTGCCTCCAAACCCATTCTCTCGTCTCCTCCTCGCCGGCATCATTCTCTCCCTCATTCGCACCATCCACATGTGGGCCGCACCCGGATGGGCAGCCGCTCCAGCTCCATCGCCTACACAGCATTCTCCCCGCGGCCCTCGATTTCACGCCACTCCAGCATCGCCACCAACCCCCCGATGGACCGCTCCAAACCCAAAGACTACCTCATCCTCGCCATCATCGCCTGCTTCTGCCCTGTCTGGCCAGTAAACATTGTGGGATTTGTTTACTCCATCATGGTATGTAGAGCTTGGGCCCTTTGAGTTATTCTATCTACACACAGAAAAGACACACAGACTACTTTAGATGTACCTTTAAGGTACCAATATGGACTCGTTAGGTACAAAGGTGTTTCTTTTGAAAAGGTACCACCCCAGTGACAGCTTTTGGACCTTTTTTCTGAGAGTGCAGGATGTCATTTGTGTCCCTAATATACTTTTAATATATATAATTTTAACAATGACTAGCAAACACTGTGTTAATATACATTTTGTAAATATTTATAAAAATATAATAATAATATATATTGATAATATAATAATGATATAATAAAATATAGATTTCATAACATTTTAAAATCATTTCTTTTATTTATTTATTTGTTTGTTTTTATTTTTGGTCTGTTCCCAGCCAGTTAGCAAATATACACATTTTAATGATGATAAAACATACGGATCGAAAATATGGTCATAAGAGCTTGCATTTTATCAAACTTTAGTATCATTCATTTTTTTGAGTTATTATGAATTATAAATAATAATTATGAATTATAAATATATACATTTCATTTGAATTTTAGGTAAAGTTTTAGTCATTTTTGCGTTATTTCGTTTTTGTTTTAGTTATTTAAGTACAGCAAGATAAACCCAATGAAATGTTTCTACATTTTATTTAAATGATTTTTTTTAGTTAAATCAATGAAAATGTTTTCATTTTAGCTAAAGCTGCAGTCCGTAACTTTCAAACGTGTTCAAAATGTATAAAATGAGCGAGTACATCATGAATCCACTTTCCAAACCGTGTTTTTGGCTTCTCCTGAATCACTACGGTACGCCTATAATACGTTTTTACAGTATATTCAGACTGATTCTGGTAGGAACCGCTGCGGAGTAGCCCAGTACCTGCGTGATTCAAAAATTCGAAATATCAAATGGATATGCAAAATCATTTTTTCCCTCAGCATAACAGACTGAATTTGTCATTGTGTGTTACAGTGTTGAATATGTAAAATGCTTCTGACTTTAATGGAAGCTCAGATCTCACTGTCATGTTCTGTTAGTCGCGGAACAGTCTAGAGCAGGGGAACATAGACGGAGCGAGACGACTGGGTCGCGTGGCCAAGCTGCTCTCTGTGGTCTCTCTGGTGGGAGGAGCCATCATCATTGTAGCATGCGCCGTGAATCTGTCAAGTAAGCCATCTCTAACCTCTTCACCCGAGCCTCATGGGACTTTCTCCTCTTCGTAGTCACACACGAAATATGCTTCTCGATGCTGGATATTTATGCAGAACGGATTATCTGAATCATAACTCTATACATAGGACATCTAAGTAGGTCAGGAAGCAGAGAATCCTTTGTGGCTGGAGATTTTCTTTCTTTTGCTGTTCTTTTGAAGTGTTTAAATACTGCTACTTTTTCCCAATGGACATTCAGCCTTTTCTTCTACAGTTGGGAAAAATGTTCTACAAAGCTGTGGGTGATTAGAAGACATTTACACGGATTGCATTTAATTACTTGAATAATAAATTATGAATGAATTACAAATGACACAACAGATTGATCTAGTGACAGACCAATGTTTTACACTATTATATGAAACATTAATGGAACACAAACATCGATGGTAACTAACAGAATCCAATCTAATATCTCCCCTGATTTAACATCAATGATCTCGCAACCCATTTACTTCCATTATGTGACATATTTCAGAGTGAATAGCACATTTAGTAAAAAAAAAAAAAGGACAGGAGTGGATTTAATCCATTGGGAATTGATTGGATTATGAAAAGTGACGTCAATGAAAAGCAATGGAAAAAAAGCTCAGAGTAATTTATTACTTTCTGATGTGTGTGTGTGTATATATATATATATATATATATGTGTATAAAATAAATAAATATATTTTTCACATATTTCAATCAAATTCTGTTTAATTTTCTATTCATCAAAAAAAAAAATCCTGAAAAAAAAGTATCCTCAAAAATATTAGGCAGCACAACTCGTGTAAACAGTGATAATAATAAGAAATGTTTCAGCAAATCAGCATATTAGATTTTTCTGAAGGATCATGTTACACTGAAGACTGGAGTAATTATGCTGAAAATTCAGCTTTGCATCGCAGGTATACATTACATTTTAAAATATATTCAAATAGAAAACAGTCATTTTAAATTGCAAAAATATTTCACAATATTAGCAGGTTTTAAAGGTTTTTTTTATCAAATAAATGCAGCCTCGGTGAGCATAAGAGACTTATTTCAAAAATGACCCCCAAACAGAATGGTAGTGTAAATTTTTAATGGAGCAGTTAGTGCAGGCAAAGCATCAACAAGTGCTTTTAGTCCTTTAATACGGTTAAAAAGCATCCCAGAATGCAATTTATAAAAGTGAGCAGAGCTGGAATCTAGACAAAGAAGGAGCTCAAATATAAGACAATAATGAGTGTAGTGTACAGTTTTGTGAGTTTTTTTTTTAACACCAATAACATGATTTATCTGTGACTTGCAGTTAATGTGAAATCCTGAGGTCGTTGAGCATGCCACAAAATCCAGCTTCACATCAGACCACTGACCCGAACACCACGGCCCATTTGTTTTGCCCCACTGCTGCTGTGACGGAAATCTCAACGTAGACAGCAATCGATAATCGGATGACATTGCTCTCTGAGAGAACCCTTGGGAATCTGCACCACCAACATGCCATCCTTCAAACAGATGGAGCAAGATACTTCACTGAAGTCTCTCACATCAATGAGTTAAGAGTAAAAGAGTTTTACTCTTGCGTTTGTTTCCTTGGCACTTACTCCGAGGCTGTTGTGGAGTCTCTCACACCTAAACTCTAGCTCACGCTCTGTAAAGACTGGCTGCGCTCATACGCACTCGTTGAGGATTTGAAGTATTTTTCCTTCTCCAGAAGCAGAAAACAAGCCAAACCAATATACCGATGAGAATCACACGTCAATTGCTCTGAAGATTGTCAAGTGGCTCACGTGAGATGAAGTGGATCTCCTCAGTCGTGATCACGTCCTTATATTAGAGACACACTTGATTTACCATGTTGACAACATTTGGTTAGTTTTAAAACTTCAGAGAACCATTTTATGAGAAGATCACCTGTGAGTAAAGAGCAGAGATACTGTATCTTAGTAACAAGAGTTGTCTTTTTTTATTTCATGTCCTTGTATAGTCTACATTTTAAAAAAGGGGGGAAAAAATAGATTTATTTTCTGCCATCAGACATTTGGAATTTTATATCATGATACTGTTTGTAATTATTCTTTATTTTTCATTTAACTTTTTCAAATGACAATCAAATCTTTCTTTTTTTCTTTCTTTCTTTCATTCTTTCTTTCTTTTCATTTGTCTTTTTCTCCAGAAAATTTGACTGTTCTTGAACGTGATGCATGTGTAGTCGTGCTTGCACAAAATGTAGCTAACAACCCTAAAACTGTGTTTTGGACAACCATATTTTGATGAAGCAATATGCAAGCACTCACAGGCAAAATGGATTTTCATCACATCGTAAAAGTGTTTCTGGAAATTATAATCTTTATAAAAACACACTGTGTCTGCTGCAAACCTTTGTATTGATTTGTGTTGTTGGGTTATTTATATACACTGTGTAATTTGAAATATCTGTAGCTAAATGTAGCCGAATCACAACCGAATCTTGCAATATTGTATTAATTAGATGTTGTGTTAATGAACCCGTCCTGTAGATCCAAATGGGACATTTGGCTGGTAATACTGTCGAGCTCATGGGGATTTTACTGCTGTAGGTTTTGAATTGTATATAAAGAGGAATGTACGATTTTGACTTGTGGGACAATGGGATTGTAACGAGGGGCAGTGATGTCATCATTCTCTGGTTGTGAATGGATGTAGCTTTTGTGCATTTCACTTCTGTTTAGATTCAAATGGTACTGCGTATGCTATATTAGAAAACTTGTGATACGTGATGATTATATTTATGGTAGGTACAGTTGGTTAAATCCATGCATTTCTTTATATCTTTTTTTAAAAACGGTTTATAATACATCCCTTTATTTTTCCTAATACCCTTTTGGCACACGAGAATACATAAACATTCTTGTTTCAATCCACCCTGATAGAATGATAAAGAGCTGGAACGTATGAAATATTTAGCTATTACAAACATTGTGTACTTATTTTTGCATGCACCCTTCTTTCTCAAATATTTTGATAGGCTTGTAAGAAGCACTCTTTCCCTCTATGTATCCTCCGCAGGGAAACCGAATAAAGGATGTGAAACAGCTGTGAATTCTCTCTGACTGCTGGATTGTTCTTTGTCCTCAGTTATTAGTGGGACTAAGTTTGAAGCTTCTGTTGCCAGGGATACCATCTGCCTCTGTTCAGGTGTGTGAGACGTGAGAATTAGACTGGACATACTGAAGACAGCATGGAGAAAACTAAAAACTGAGTTATATATAGGGCTGTCGATTTATTCATGTTCTTGGTCACAGTGGAAAGAGACGGGAGATGAAGAGCACAGAAACTTTGACTTTTAAAGGTCACTTTTATTTACTAATGATTAAAATCCTTGCTTAGAATTGCTGCATTTGAAATCCACAAGGAACAAATATAAAACAAACATACAAAAATCAGATAGATAGACTGACATAGAGATAAGGATAGATAGATAGATAGATAGATAGATAGATAGATAGACAGACAGAGACATACAGTCATAAGGAATAGATTGCAGATAGATAGATAGATAGATAGACATACAGTCATAAGGGATAGATAGATAGATAGATAGATAGATAGATAGACATACAGTCATAAGGGATAGATAGATAGATAGATAGATAGATAGATAGATAGATAGATAAACTGACATAGAGACATAAGGATACAGTTTGTACGGTATAAAAACCACCTATAAAACATGGAAACACAACGTGTGTGTGTGCGTGCGTGCGTGTGTGTGTGTGCGTGTGTGTGTATGTACAGAGCACAAATCCCGAGTTTGGGACACCATACTTGACCTCACGTCACGTCCTTTTCCTTTCCGTTTAGATAGACTAACCGACGATTTCTGTAAATTACACAGTATTTAACTGTAATATGAACTGTACTTTACTGTAAAACAGTTACACAGTATGTTACTGTATTTTAAAATTGCATTATGGGAAATATCCTCTTGGCGCCATTAAAATACAGTATTTTTCATTTACTGTAAATCCAAATACAGTAAAAAAAAAATGAGCGGGAAACCTGACCAATGACAGAAAGGCTTTTTTTCTGCTTGGAGAAAAGAAGAAGAAGAAGAAGAAGAAGAAGAAAAGGAAGACGCACACACCTCGCAGCTGCAAATGTATGTACAATATTCCTGCTTTTTCATTACATATTTTATGTCAGTGTAATTTTAATAGACAGAGACATACAGTCATAAGGAATAGATTGTAGATAGACAGATAGATAGATAGACATACAGTCATAAGGGATAGATTGTAGATAGATAGATAGATAGATAGATAGATAGATAGATAGACAGAGACATACATACATAGATAGATAGATAGAGATAGATAGATAGATAGATAGATAGATAGATAGATAGATAGACAGAGACATACAGTCATAAGGAATAGATTGTAGATAGATAGATAGATAGATAGATAGATAGATAGATAGATAGACAGAGACATACAGTCATAAGGAATAGATTGTAGATAGATAGATAGATAGATAGATAGATAGATAGATAGACAGAAATGGAACTGCTAATTTTACAATTTGTGCATATAGTTTTACAGTAACTGAAAAGTGAAGCAAACCAATTACAGTGAACTTTACAGTATAACAGTATGTTTTCTATTGTTTTAAAATGCATTACTCAAGAAAGGACCAAAAATGAATACAATAATAAAATATTTTACAGTTAAACAACATTATACTGTAAATACATTTACAGCAAGTTAAATGGTACTGTAAATATTAATACAGTCTTTTTACTGTAAGTTTAATTTACAGTAAGTTACTGGCGAACTGCTGCCAGTAAGTTACTGTAATTTCTACAGGAAATTTTTAACAGTGTAGATAACAAGGTGGACTCCGACCCAACACTGATAGATAGATGTTTTATATTTATGTTTTATGAAAGAACAAACAGAAGGTCAGAATGTGAGAGCGAGTGAAAGAAATAAAAGATGGCCGCCATTATGCAGTGAAGCAAACAGTGAAGGGGTGGAATGAGAAAGTCTCGAGGGATGAGGAGTAGTAGGCAGCCAGAGGGGATAGATATTTCATGAGGAACCGCATACGACCCTCTAAATCTGCTGCATGCAACAATGACAAATATCTAACGCTGCCGGAATGATCTGCACACTGAACTGGATGATGAATGAGATCAGTGTGTGAACTGCGGTTTCACTTCATCCACTAAGATGCAGAGATCACAGCTGCGTTTGTGCTAAACACAACTCCCATCATTCAGTATTTATTAAACTGGAAATCCTGACAGACTCATGGGGGGAAAAAAGCTTTTCTCAAGCTCTTTCCCTCTTCTCTTGCAGAATCCTGGATTAGCTGGATTTCTAAAATGGATGTTGCATTACTAAGCACAAATGAATACTGCTGCAAGAGTGCGGAGGATTCCTGAGCCAAACTGTACGACACCCAAATCTCAAACAAACCCTCTACAGTACACCCAGAGCAATATGAGGCCCATGCCCTACTTCTGTAGGGCGAGTTGTGTGTGTGTGTGTGTGTGAGTGATAAACAGCTGCATCAGCCTGCAGTGTCATTAGTGCAGATTATTGCAGTTGAGTGCAGATGCAGCACTAAAACCCAAACATCATCCCCCGCACAGCAGCACCACTGACCTTGACAGAACCAACACTAGAGAAACAAACTTTCACAGTCTTCTCATTAGCCATTAGACTTCTCATTAGACTGACTGACATTTAGGCAAATCAGTCAGAGATAGATGGTAGGCTATTTCAACACTGTAGAAAGCTGCCAATGCCCTCAAATTGACTAAATTGAGTCATCAAATGCATGAATTTTGCAACTAATTTTATGATGTTTTAAAAATGCATTCTAAAATAATAATTTAAAAAAGGCCTACGTGTTTTTTTTGTATTTATTTTATTTTCAGAAAGTCACATTGTCAAATATTAAGATTACAGTTTTTTTTTTTTTTTTTAATTAGTGACAATATGTAATGGTTATTGTTATGGATGACTATTTCAAAATGTAAGGAATACTCCCTTTCAAACGTTTGGGGTTAGTGAGATTTTTTAAAATATAAATTAATACTTTTATTCAGCAAGGATGCATTAAAATCATCAAAAATGATACTAAAGACATTTATATTATTACAAATTATTTCTATTTTAAATAGGCCTAAAAGCTGTTGTTTTGAACTTTCTATTCATCAAAGAATCCTGAAAAAAATGATCACCGTTTCCACAAAAATATTAATTTAGCACATCTGGTTTAAAAAAAACTAAGATTTATTTTATTTGATTTTTGAGCAGGAAATCAGCATATTAAAGTAGGCTATATTACAACAGAAAACTGTTTTATGATAATAACTTACTAAATATTAATGTTCTTACTGTATTTTTAACCAAATAAACGCAGCCTTGGTTAGGTAAGACACTAAACAGACCCTACATTTTTGTATTAAAATAAATGTTAAAATGTTATATTCAGTTAATACATTAGGCTAAGTAACATACTTCCTTATTAGCCTAGTTGCATATGGTTATTTTAAATGTTTGTATACACTACGAATTACAGCTTTGTGTATAGTAATACTTATTTTTTTGTAAATATTCAACGGCATCGGCAGCCTGCCTGTCGAAGTATTTGCGCATTAAAAAATGCAAGATATTTCACATACGTTACAGAATCTCAGCTCGTGCAGAATATCATGTTCCGGATATGACGCAGGACGCGCCGTATTTAAACTTGTTTTCATTATCACGGAAGTGAAACAGGACCGTTTTCACAGGCTGATGTTGATATACTTCCACACTTAGGCGCTCATTCTTGTCGTAAGTAAATATTATTTTACAATGTATTTGTTTTATCTAGATATAATTGTATAACGCTCTTAAACCGGACTTTCGCTATTCGCTGTTTGCTATAACTGTGCTGTAAGTAAGTTTACGTTACGTTACCTGAGAGAGATCAGTGGGTCGATTCGTTCGTTTCGATGTGGTTATGGTTAGTTTTACATATATGTTTTATGTCCAGACCTCACTCAGTCCAGACATGGCGGCGAAGGGGGCCAAGGAGACTATCGTGAATAAACTGGGCTTTAAAAGCAGCAGCTCCAAACCAGTGGAGATGGAGCTCGAGAAACTGAAGAGAGAGAATCAGCAGCTGAAGAAAAGCCTGGAGGACACGAAGAGAGCTGGAAGACAGCCAAACACACATCCAGACTCGGACAAAGCCAAACTCCTGGAGGTGAGATGTCTGTGTATTTTTCTGTGATGTGTTACATTTCTACAAAACAAGGAGTATTGCTATGAAGGTGTTTTCCCTTTTTAACTGGCAGAGGATCTTGGCCCTGGAGACGCTGAGGGAGAGGAGCTCGCAGCAGCTGCTGGGGAAGGAGCAGGAGATCTCCAGCCTCAGACAGCAGCTGCGTGCCGCTCACGGGGACGTGGTGTCTTCACTGCAGAGCCAGCTGGAGCAGAAACAACAGGAGGCCCAACAGAGAGAGACACAGTTTCAGGCTCTCTCGAAGGAGACCGAAGACCTGAAAAACAAGTATTGTGCTGTTTCTGAGAGGTGTGACACACTTGAGAAGCAAAAGGTAGGGGAGGTGACTTTAGACCCTTCATATGGCAAAGTTTTATTTTACAAATGTCCTCATAAGAATTTTGAGCTTATACTGTGCGGTTTCTGTCAGAACAATTTTGGATTAATTATGATTCAGAAATATTTTTGAGGAAAGTCTCTTCTGCTCATCAAGGCTGCATGAATTTGATCATAAATACAGTTAAAACAGTAATATTGTGAAATATTATTACTATTTAAAATAACGTTTTTCTATTTGTGACCCTTTTCTACAAAACCAGTCATAAGGGTCAATTTTTTTTTTGAAATTGAGATTTATACGTCATCTGAAAGCTGAATAAATAAGCTTTCCATTGACATATGGTTTGTTTTGATAGGACAATATTTGAAAATCTGGAATCTGAAAGCAAAAAAAATCCAAATATTGAGAAAATCGCATTTGAAGTTCTTAGCAATGCATATTACAAATCAAAAAGGAAGTTTTGATATATTTACGGTGGGAAATTTATAAAATAACTTCATGGAACATGATCTTTACTTAATAACCTAATGATTTTTGGCATAAAAGAAAAATCAATAATTTTGACTCTTATAATGTATTGTTGGCTTATTGCTACAAATATATCCGTGCTACTTGTGACTGGTTTTGGGGTTTTGCTGCTCAAGAAACATTTCTTATTATTATTATCAATGTTGAAAACAGCTGTTCGGCTTCAAATATTTATTGAAACAGCGATGTACTACCAAAAGTTTGGTGTAAGGTTGTAAAAAAAGAAGAAGAAATACGTTTTTTATTAGCAAGGACACACAATGTTACACAAGCATTTCTATTTTAAAAAATAAATGCTGTTCTTTTGGACTTTCTGTTCATAAAAGAATCCTGGGGGAAAAAAATCAGTTTCCACAAAAAATGTAAGCAACATTGATAATAATAAGCATTATTAATAATTGGCCAACAAATCAGCTGTGCCATAACAGAAATTAATTATATTTTAATACAGGCAAATACAAACAGAACTGCCTTTCTTGTTATGCACGTATTAAAATTAGCTCATCTTTTTATGTAATATCCTGTCATTTAACATAAGGATGTTTCCAAGCAAATGAAAGCATGGTCAGGTTCACACACTAGATGGCAGTGTTTCATCAAATAACTAGTTTCTTGCTCCGAGAAGTTGCCTAACTAGTGCTGAGGGACTGATGTTAGTAGACCACAACTAATTCTTATGTTTATAATTACGAATATAATATTTATACTACAGTTTATTGATACTTAATTTGATAAATATTATGCTTGTGTTCCTTGTTCAAATTCTGTAATAAACTATATTGTGTGATATTGTTTTCCCCATAACCAGTTAAGCGCAAACCCAAATTTCATCGGTCAACTCAATCACACAGTCTTCAGTCAAGAAAAGTTCAGACTGCATAGATTCAGTCCAGAGTTCCTATGCTGTAGTAAGGTTAATGTTCAGGGCGATTCTTCCTTTTCCTTTAAAGAGATTGATGGCCTGTTGGATGAAGTTCCTGTAATGGTCAGTTTGACAGCTCTCAACAGGGCATTAAAGACATATCTATTCTCTCTAGCTTTCAAAACCCCTTGATCATTGGTTCAATTGTTGTTTTAAATTTGAAAGTCTTGTTTTATTCATTTTATTCTTGAGTTTTTTATTCCATTGTGTGCAGCACTTTGGTCAACTTCGGCTGTTTTTAAATGTGCTTTACAAATAAATATTGTATTGTATAGGTGAACATTGCTAAATATAAGATGTAAAAGGTTTTGTCTATCCTTTTTATGAGATGCATTATGCTGCTTTGCGATTACATTTTTGCTAATTTAGCCAGTGTTTATTTTGAAGTTTTTGTGTCATTGGTCATGACAGGTTCCGTCTGGTGAGCTTGCGGGGGTTCAGGAGCAGTTGCGAGACGTGAGTTCACATCTCAAGAGTTCAGATAAGAGCTTCCTGGTGTTTCTTCCAGACTCATGTGTTGTCGCTCCTCTCTCTGTCTTTGAGTCCAGGCTCTGGAGAAGAACCATAACTGGCTTGTGTATGACCAGCAGCGGGAGGCCTACGTTCAGGGCTTTTTGGCCAGGACAAAAGAGTTAGAGACGCAGCTAAATGAAGCGAATCAAGCACTCCAACAACAGCACAAAGAAGCCAATTCAGATTGTACAAAGCTTTAAAAATACTCACTCAGAATGGTCATATAGGGTCTGTTTAATGCAGTAGCATCATTCACGCTCTCTTCTCGCCACACAGGCCAGTCCGGACAGGTGGCTCAGCGTGAGCTGGAGACCGAACGCGCCCAATTCAGCCGAATCCAGACAGAACTGGAGGATCTGAGAGGAAGGTATGAGGAGAAGAGCAGGGAAGCGGCTCAGGCCCGGGAGCAGCTCTTGGAGGAGAGGAAGCGCAAGCGGGAGGCTTTGCAGGAGAGGAGGCGTTCAGCAGAGCGAACCACTCGACTGCAGGGAGAGCTGGAGGAGGAGAGGAAGAGGGTGGCCGAACTACTGATGCAGGTACAGATGGGAATCATTCAGTGCAAAAGATACTTGGTATTTTTGTCCTATTTTCACTTACAAAATCTGACATTTTTGAAATCCAGATGCATTTACTTTGAAAAATGCATTTTTGAAAAAATTCTAATTGTGTTAAATTAACTAAAAATTAAAGGTGGGGTAAGCGATTTTTCAAAAACACTTTAGAAAACTGATTCGGGCCGACTAGCAAAACAAACTTGTAGCCAATCAGCAGTAAGGGGCGTGTCTACTCATGATGTGGAGGAGAGAGCGTTCAGTGCACAGGATGGACATTAGCCGAGCGACAGAAAGAAAAACAAAAGAGGAAAACGTCTGCGGAACAAAAGAAGGCAAATGCTGCGTTCAAGTCCTCCTGGGACGTTCGTACTTACGAGTTGACAAGTCGTAATAACGACATCAGGTGCGTTCAAGTCACTTTGGTCGGAACAATATGGCGATCGAACTTTTTTCCCATAAAATTCAACGATTTTTTAAACTTTACATCTACAAAATGATGAATAAAGAATGTGCGTCATTGTGTTTTTGCTTTTTTCTGTTTATGTCAACATTGGCTACCAGAAATCACTTACCCCACCTTTAAGACATTTTTGGCCCTTTAAATTAAGTTCATATTTTTCTTAATCTGCTGACAGACTTTTTTTTTTTCTTCTTCTTTTCTTGCGTAAACCTCATTCTGGGTGGTAGATTGAAACAGACTTGTACTAGACAATGTTTTTATTTAGAAAATATTTTAGTACTTTTAGGACTATTTACTATTAGGACCTTTTAGGAGAAAAAAAGGTTTCTCCTAAAATAATTTTACAATTTTTGTCTGACTATAATACTTTTTTTTTGTTGTTATTTTAGTTTGCTTGAATTTTTTTATTTACATTTTTTTTGTGTTGACTTTGAGACAAAATTGTAAACATTGTATTGAAAGAATACTGATTGAATTGTTTGAATTATGTAGTTGAATTGTTTTTGCTATGAATATAGCCATTGCTGCTGACATGGCGTTAAATCATAAACAAATAAATAAATAGTAACAGCCTTTTTTAATGGTCAATATCTAGAGAGCAGGGTGGCCAACGGCTCATCTAATGCCAATATACATAATGCATTTTAATTTGGCAAGTGCAATTTAGTGATGTACAAACAGTTTGAAAAAAAAAAAATCTTTAATAATACTATATTAGTGTCAAAAACTTTAATAAGACTTTGCTTCTCTTCAGAAGCTCATGAGATTTTACTGGAAATTCATAGGCAGTAGGCATGCATATTGTTTATTAGTCAAAAGTTTATATTTAAAACAAACAAAAAATAAGTTATTATGAGAGTTGTATTTGTTGAACATTTTGGTCACAACATAAATCACATATGTGTTTTCATGATTTCACTGTTAGTTGTAAAATTAAGTTTGAAGCAGCTCATTTGTGCAGTCACTATATCTGCTAGAAAATAAAAGATGAATAAAAGTTTAAAAGCTAAATGTTTTCTGTTCTGAAAGGTGAATCTACTGCAGAAATCCCTGATGAATCAGCAGGAGGAGAAGAAAAGAATCGCTATTTTGGAACAACAGGTATTTGGATCATCCTGTAACACTAGCGTTAATAGTAGAGCTGTGAATGAAACATCCAGCACGCTTCTCAATTTCAGTCAATTTCAAAAATACTATACAATAATTGATCAAATAATTATTTTATAAATCATTTTATATAATATAATTTATTATTTTTTTTATAATTATATATATATATTATATATTTTTTTATATAAAAATAATTTTTATAATTTAATATATAATTTTTAATATGTAGTTTTTTGTTTTTTTTGGAAAATACACTCGTGCATTCATGTGTAGGACACCACATTAAATTTAAAGTTTTGCTGAAAATGTATAAAATGACAAGTAAAAAAGAAGCCACTGTCACTGACCATCTTATAGATCCAGTTGCCGGCCAAAGAATTTGAAAGTGATAAACTGGACCGTCAAACTCTACAGCACCAGCTGCAGAAAGTTTTGAAAGAGCTTCGTAAGGCCAGAGACCAGATTACACGCCTGGAGTCTGCCGTGAGTTCTGAGATATTCTGTGACGTGTCCTGACATGATCATTGACATACAGTATCTGTCATTTTCTTGTGTAGTAATGTGCCTGTTTTGACCTTGTGCCTCAGAAACAGCAGAGAGAGTCTCGCTTCTCTGAGCCCAGCTCCTATAACAGGATGGATTTTGAAAGACTTACTATTCAAGATCAAACCACATCTCCATCTAAAGTCCATAACATACTAGATGAGAGTATCCTGGAGTGTCCAAACTGTGGCGCTTCATATCCCACCAGCCAGCACAGAGAGCTGCTAGCCCACCTCGACTACTGCTTCAGCTAAAAAACACGCTTTGTGCTAAAACTTCTTTGTTTAGGGCACTTTTTATTGTAGCCACCATTCCAAAGAAATGTTTCAGTATTTTTTATTTTTAAAGATTTATTTTTGGCATTTTTATTTTGATAGGACGGTATAGCAGTGACAGGAAGCGAAGTAGGAGAGAGAGAGAGAGGGGGATGGGACTCGAACTCGGGACGCCCGGAGCGCAACGGCACTATATGGTGGCGCGCTGCCCACTAGGCTATTGGCGCCGACGATGTTTCAGTATTTTTATATTAACAAGTGTTTTATTATTATTTTGAAGAACAAATATAAGTAGTCAAATAAAAAAAGTTTGAAGGATCTTTACTAGAATATTCATAGAAGTAGCGGTTTACATGGGGGATATTTAAAAAATATTTTAATTTATGAATTTTAAAAAATGAATGTTTTTTTCCCGCTTAGTTCTCTTTTGGTGACAAGGTTGATCTTTTATTTGCAGTTTTCTTACATACAATAAATAAAGCAATATTTAGCTTCTTTTTTTTTTTTTTTCAATCAGTGTTGTACCTAAAAATAAGGTTATTTACAGAGTCCTTCACTGAATTGTGTACTCCACTTGAATGAATAAATGGAAAAAGACAGTGTGGTTTGTTTCCTAGTTTGCCCTTGTATCCTCATGATACCTCTGAAGTGTTAGATGTCTGGGAGCCACTCATTAGCATCCGTCAGTACTTACTTTGCAAACCAAATCTGTCTTGAATTAGACTGCATGTGTAAATCCTGCATTAAACTATTTAAAGATGGGATTAAGTGAAGCACAGTAGCCGGAGGAGAACGGGTCTAATTCTAGGGAAGTGCCATGCATTATTTTACCACCAGGCAAACGATATGAGAGAAAAACTGGTCCAAATAATTTTGTAGAATCCTTCCAATGTCCTACTGAGGTTATTTACACTCTTCCGTTGACATATTTACATAACATGAAATTTCAAGACTAAATGGTGCTTTTATTTTTAGTGCATATATCAAAAATGTAATCTGATTTCTTGAAAATATGAAATCATTTGTATTATTTTCTATATATTTATAGTATGCATTATATAACTTGTTTAATCTAAACTATTTAATTTTATAACCTGATTTTAGTGATATAAATCTTAACTATATAAATATAATTCCTGCTTTTATATATATTAAAAATGAATTTTTTTTAATGATGTTTCTAATTAGAATGCAAATTAACAGAAGTTTATAAATATTGTACATAAATATATAGATGTACCTGTATATAATATAAACGTGTTTATTACATTTTGAAGGAAGGTTAATAATGGCAGTGGCTGATTGGCTGAATGTGGTTATTTCCTCAGACTGATATATAATCTGTGTGCTGACAGCAGTTACTCTGTATCATGGTCCAAGTTGCACAAAGTGTTTGTTAGTAGATCTGTCAACAAAAAGCATTAATTTGCCAGTTCTATTTGTATTGTTAGTTCATACGAGTTCAAACAAACCTTTGATAAAACCTTCGTGACAGTGAGTTTACTAGCATCAATCACTGAATTCAGTAATTATAC